GACCCTGGGAAGGCAAAGGAGGACATGGGCCCCAGTTCTCTGTGGGAAAGGGGGGCTGCAGCTGTGGGCTGGCACCGGGCTCTTCCTGGAAGGGGCTGGGCTGGGATGCACTTGGGGCAGGCAGCAGTGGAGTGCTGGGAGGCCAGCTATGGGGGCGGTGGGGGGCTGCAGCCACCCCATTCACCACAGCCTCAACGCCCCCTCCCAGTGCTGCCAGTCACTCCGACCTTCCCTGAGCACAGCCTGGCCCAGCCCCTGCCAGGAAGACCCCAGAGCAGCTCTGGCCCCAGTCCACAGCTGCAGCCTGCTCTGCCTAGATCTGGGGGGCACATGCCTCCCCGCCAGGGTGCATGCAGTGGCAGGCACTGCCTTGCCCCCCACCGATGAACTGTGGCTCCATCCTGAGTCCTGCCACAGCTGTGCAGCCCCAGTCCCACTCCCTCCCTCACTGTGGAGGCACTGATCTACTCCTTCCACCACAACAGACTTACCAGCTGGACACAGCTCTCCATACTGCTGAGCTGTGCTATGTGCTGCGCTATGGCTGCACGCATGCATGGGGCATTTATTGGCTACGTTATTGGCCACATCAGGCCAATTTCCGATGCAGTCAATTTTCTCTATAACAGTGCCGATCCAATATCGGACCCATGTATTGGTGCACCTCTACTTCCTTGATTCACATTTTTTTTATAAAGTGCAGACAATCCCCTCAAACATTTTGTGGAGAGTGCAGAGTGAGTGGGGTAAGGGTGGAGATTGGGAACAGAACTGCTGGCTTGCAACCCCTTTCTATCATTTAAATAAAGCTAGATTTAAAATGCCTCTCTCTAGGAAAGTCTTAGAGAATTTATGGAGCAGTAACGAATCCAAAATCCATTCCCAGGTAACTTGATACAAGTGAAAATTCCCTAAGCAGCCGGGGAAAAAAAAGAAGGTATTAAAAAGAAAGCTGCAGCTTTGCCTAGGGAAGCAGTGCTTTGTTAGCAAGTCTGCCAGGAATAAGTCTAGTTGCAGAAGCCACATAGATACAGCTTCTAATCAAACTGCTGGAAAGGATGTAATTCTTATACTTAAAGGTCAAGAAAGTACCTTTTAGTTGAGAACAGGAATGGGGTTACATGTACTGCATCCCTTAGCAAATACTAAGAGTGTTGACAGTAGTAAGGTGTGGGGAGGGACTGACACCTAGCATTTAAAGCTAAGTATGTTGAGATTGATGTGCAGCTTGTTTTTCATTTTCCCTGATACACGAAGAGGTAGCCTTAGCTTCTGTAGAGAATCTCTGGTCTCTACGATATGTATCCTAAAAATAAACTGCTTTCCTATTCCTCATCCACAAGCCCATCATATGTAGAAAACAAAAGAAATTGAGTAAAATAGTGAGCTTTGAACAGATCATCTCTTCCCCCTCCACCCTAACACTTACCTAAGAACACTAAAGACTAGTCTTCTGCACTTGAAACATTCAGTGTTTACTATTTCTGGACCTAGAATACTAGTGAGCAATTAATTCCCCAATGAAATTTCCTTGAAGTTATCATAGCAAGAGAACATCACTGGGTCCGGATCGCTCCTTTCTTATTAATTTGAAAGGATGTCTCTTTTATCATTTCCATTTTAAGGCCTGCAACATAACACATTCAATGCATTATGTAGGAAGACTTATAATAAGTTAATAATTTTTCTGTATTAGGCAAAATTACAGAGGTACTCAAAATGACTTGTAAAACAAATCAAATGAAATAGCAGCAACTGTAATCTAAGCAACAAGTATAAAGACCATCAACCACTATTTAAGTCAATAGCAGAAAATACATTTTAAATATTTCATTATTTAACTTTATTAAAATAATTGTAAATTTGCACACAGAATGTCAGATTAGATATTATTTACAAAAGCTATCAATGCCAAATAAAAGTGTTTACATTTAATATATGAAAATTAAAATTATTTTGAATGACAAATATTTCTTATATGCAAACAATATTGCTTTACCAAAGTTAAAGTAGTCAGAATATTTTCCCCCTTTTGCTTCTCACTGTCCTTTTTCATCAGGAAACATGAAATAGGATTATGTTTACCAGAATTAGGATGCTACTACCTTCGTCTCTGAGCTTGGAGAGAAGAGAATGAACCTGCTCTCTTTCATGATTGGTACAAGACCAATACTTAGCCGTACTGAAGTTTAGTAATGCCATATAAATAGTTCTTTTTTTTAATTTCATTTTGAAAACATACATAAATGGGTAAGACAAAAGGCAGTATTTTGGTTGCATATTTGATGTAAAGTGGTTTTTCATTTGTTGGAGCAACATTTTAGGGGACATTTTAATTTAACATTACCCAATATAAACTCTACTGGAGATACAGGTTTTGTAAGTAACACTAGTTGTTTAATACCCCATAGGTACTGAACAATAAACAGCAGTCAATGGAGTCTTGACAAGAATAGAAGAGTTATTTTCATTGGACAGGAATTCTCTCTTATCTTCTTATTCAGACTTGATCCTATGCAATATCTAGAATACTGAAAGCATACATAACAGCATACTGCAATGGCAGCATAAGCTGATGCAAACTCAACATACCTAAAACTGTACTTTTGAAAACAGTTTCCTCTTTGAAACAAAGTAAAAATAAACACAAACAACATGAAAACTTTATCATTAATCAGTATTTGCAGAATTCAAATTTGCATACTTTTACAATTTCTTTTCTTCTTCCTTCCATCCAAAGCGAGTCGTTAAAATAAAACAAGGGGTGGAAATATAGTGAAATAACATCAAATACTTCTCAGAACAGGATAGCTCCAGACAAAAAAAACATGTAGCAGAGAGTCAAACCAACATTTTACTTTCTTTTAGGAAATGTGTGCCCAGATGAACAAAATCTCACATCCAAATCTTTTTAAATAAGAATGTCTCCTTACGGGATAGTGAACCTTTAAGGAACTGCTTTAAGAGTCATAAATGAGGCTAAGCCTGTCCACTAAATGAATGAGCAGGCTATGTTAGCCACTGCAGTCAGTGTCACCATACTCAGGCCCACCCTCAATGCCAAATAAAGAAATACATATAATTTTTTCCCTCATCAGTTTTCTAAGGGATCCTTAATAAAGGAATGATTAAAAAATAACAATAGTGTATGAAATTCATTAGGAATGAAACAATCCTATATCTCTACCCGTTGGTATATACATCTTTATTGGACTCATCCATTATTTTTGCTCTCTTGCAGAGCCAGGCCTGCACACTTTGTTATTAACCCTCCCACTGCCCAGAATAAAGCCAAATATTTCTGAAAACATGCCAAAGATATAATAAACGAGCCTTCAATTCTACACAGTGTTGCTTTAAAATTATGGTTTAGGCATGCAAAAAATATTTGCGAATCCAGACAAACTTATGAATTGCTGTAATTACTATTCCATTAAGAAGAAAGAAAAAACAGTCAGAAAAGAACCTATAGACAGTTATCGAAGAATGTGCGATCAAAGAATAACCATGCCTGAAGCACCACATAAAAAGGTGCCATCTTAAAACTTTACCTTTGTAGCTAGCATTGCTCTTGCAGCGTTATAGAACACAATGAATGCTCTTGAGTATCGTTTCATTTTTAAATAATTTATTCAGTTAATCAATTCCGTGGTAAGCATCCATCTGTTGTGCTTTATACTGCATTCACCAGTACCATTAAAGTTTACCAAATCTAAGGCTACAATCCCATCCTCTACCACTACAACAAAATGAACATTATCCCTTAAAGAAAAAAAAAATATTCTGACTGTTTCATGGACTGGGATGAATTTATTAGATCTTTACTCCTCTGTTACAGAAGGTTTTCTGGGCCTGAGGACAAGATCTTTGACAGAGGCTGTCACTTCTTGGAGCTGTTTTCGAATATCTTCTGCACCTTCTTCTTCCTCTTGATTATCCATTATGTCATCATCTCCTTGCCCAATCTTTTTATTCTGGTTGATCAACTGTTTCACCACTAACCCTTGGTATTTGACTAGAAGAGAATGCTGATCCTGAAGAAAAGATTGAAATGGTTATGGTTATGAAAAAACAGTACAGCTGAATTAAAAATAAAACATTGCATAAAGAAATGGCCAATAGGAAACATTTTTCCATGAAGACATTTTACAACCTAATATTCTTGTACGAGTATTTTGTGCATCACAAATAAAAGATACAGAATAATAAAAATGCATCTGCACTGCAAATACAGTGTGCTTTGCTACTGTAGGAGGAAATGCCATTCACAGACCAACTACTATTTCAGCAGATTAGGATGTTACATTTTGATAAATTTTGTGGTGCACCATTTCCTTAAAACTGAATTGGAAGAATTCTGGATGTATCCTTACTCCATCTGAGAGAGAGAAAGGTCAGAGGATGAAGCCCAACCCTTGCAATGTGAATCCAATTAAAATCCAGATGTCTGTAACATCTGGTGAACACTTATATTGCTTATTCAATGGAACTATTCTGTCAGTGGTTCAGAGAAAGGACAATGTTTTAACCACTGTCGTCTAGACACTTCCTGCCTCCGAATCATCCTCATGGATCACTATAATTTACAGCTGTCACTTTGCTACAGAGTTAGTGACAGCAAACAGATCAAAAGTGTTATACTATATACAGACAGTAATAGTAACAAAAGCAAAATCAGTTAATTTCATCCACCAGAACTATTCAGTGTTGGGCAGTCACAGGCTTTTCATGTTTTCTAATAGAAAAAAGGTACCATGCTTTTATTAAAAAAAAGGAAAAGACATTACTGGATGAAAATTCATTACTGGAATACCTCTGGGATCTTAGTACTTAGGAAAGCAATGATCTGTGGCACACATCTTCCTGGTGCATGAACCATGCAGTGGGTTGAAAACTGAAACAACAGGACTGATGTAAGATGCAGAACGAGAGCTGGGTCTTCTGTGACTTTTAGTTGTTCAATCAAAGCCTGTCTATGCTGGAACAGAACCTGCCTATGGAAACAAAATATGTAGTGTAAAAACGTTCTTTATCAAGCTAAAAATCTAAAAATGTGCTTATAGAGTAATATTCATTTTTCCTTCCTGGACTGATTCCTGACATTGGTGTAGGACATGGGTGTCAAATGTATGGCCCACAGGTCAACAGAAATAACATGGTCTGCTGCAGAATCAGAGGCCCTGTGACCCTGGTGGACATAATCATTGGCAGAAGGGTGAGCAAGGGCTGTACCACCTTGCTCTCCCTGTAATCATCTGTTTCGCCACTGCTTGTTCTACCCCTGCCCCTCCCCTCTTCCCACTTCCAAAACTTCCCTAATCCCTGCCATTGTCCCCACCAGAGCTGTTGCCCTGTGCTGGGTCCTACCTGTGAAGGAACCCCACAGTCTAGGTCTACCTTGGATCACAGGGTGAGCCCGATATCCCGATTTAGGATTTTCAGCAGGGCTCAGTATTGGCTGAGAGCTTGTGAAAATCCCACCCTGAACTTTAAAAATAACCTCTCAATGCATCAAGTGATATAAAGAAATTGATTCCAAAACCAAAAATACTGTTTCACATTTACTTCACTCCTATATTGCAGGTTAAAGATATAAGCCTGGGTTGTATTCTGGCTACCAGCTATCTAAGATTTAGTAGCTGTTTGCCCAAAAAATGTGTCCTGCCTCAGGAAAGCAATCCTGTACCACATGGGAT